CCTAAAAGTGTGTGGGAATCGTCCTAACTTTGAATCGTCCTAACTTTCCCCCATTAGCGGCGCCCCTGTGTTTGTGTGTGTGCATGTGTGAGTGTGTGTGTGCATAACACCTGATCCACCTATGACTTTTGAATGCCATACATTCAGACACAGAGATAAAGCCCTGAGTGTGTGTGTGTGTGTACCTGTTTCTGGGTGGTCTAAGATTTCAGCTTCTCTTGTGTAGACGTTGGAGTCTCTGAAGCTCACAGTGAGCTTCTCCATTACCTGCGAGACCCCCAGAGACAGAAGAGGAACATATCTCCCTCCATCTCTCTCTCTCTGTTAATATTCATAAAAGATGCAGTCCATTTTAACATGAATGTAACACGTAATTAAATATATAATAGGATCTGTAACAATGAACGAACCCCCAAACATAAATGTGACGGCCTGAGACCCCAGCAGGGGACATGTGGAAAGTCATTGTGTTTTGTTGGTGGTTTTCTCTGTTTTCTCATCCTGTGGAAAGCATGTCCTCTGCTGGCCACTGAGGGAACTGCATGCATGTGGATCTCATCCTCAGATCAGTCGCTGGGAGAAACTGCACACAGAACCAGGTTGAAGTGTGTGAGATCAGTGGAGGTTTAAACCTCAGCTGGAGCCCCGTCCGGCCATATGGCAGCGTCCCCCGACAGATCGGTGTGTGTCGTGCCGTCGGACCCTCCTCCTCTTTTATATAAAGGATGAATGGAGCCTCTTTTCTGAAGGGCCACTTCCCAAGAGCCGTTTAGTGTTTGTAATGAGTGACATGAACAGGGTTAAACCTCCTCTGTTTGCGAGTAAACCTGTTTGCTCGACTCCTCTCGGCTCGTTGGGATTTCCAGCAGGAAGTTTCGATCCTAATCCGCCGGCGTAAGTGGATTCCCTTTGTGTGTTCAAGGCAACAAAATATTTAAAGCTTGAGTCACAAAACCCATTCATGAAGCAAAAGGCCACAGCGAGAGATAAATGTGTGCTTTTAAAACGGCTCATATCTGGGATTCCTCGCACAGCAGGAGCCGGTGAATGATGGCGGGCCCCAACACAAAGATCATCCGCCGCGTCCCCTGTCCACCTCCATTAGGACTACATCTATTTACAGACACCTGTCTGCCTGCAAACACTAGTTTAAATAAGACTGAAGTTATGAGGGGCTTACTTTTACTTGTTAAACACATAGAGTTGCTTCGTTTTAAAGAAGCTGTTCACAAAACGAAGCAATCTGATCATGAATCGTTGGCTTAAAGAGCCGTAATACAATTACTTTTGCATGTTAAATGTGTAAAATTAATGAGGATCATGTTAAAGCAACGATTGATTGTTTGTTGGGTAACACTTTGCAACAAGACATTTGTTAATTTGTCACGTTTCATCATCTTTGTTAACTGGGTTGTTTCAACCTGTTCATGCACTCTAAACAATGCTGGGTTGTTTCAACCCAAATTTGGGTGAAATATGGACAAACCCAAATGTTGGGTTAAAAAGAGTAATGAAAAAATTTACAGTTGAAAGTGAGAGTTGAAGTTGGGTTAAAATTTTTGTGTTTGTCCATATTTGACCCATATTTGGGTTAAAACAACCCAGCATTGTTTAGAGTGCACTCCCCAACACTGTAAAAAAAATATAGTTGGTTTAACTTAAAAATATGAAGTAACCTGGCTGCCTTAAAAATTTAAGTTCATTGAAATGGAAAAAATTGAGTTAATACAATGAAGGTGATTGATTTAATCATCAGAAACTTAAAATATTATGTTATCTGAACTACATAAATTATTTAAGTTGATTTGACAAAAGAAATAATGTTGTGATTACATATGATGAAAATATTTTTGTTTTTTACAGTGAAAGAAGCAGCCCGCCATTAAAAGACTTGTATTCCTGTGTCGACTTACAGGGAATCAATCATCTTGTCACAGTTATTTTTTCCCAATAATTTTTTGTCTCATTTCGAACCTTTCAGAGTTCTTTCTAGTTAAAGGTGCCAAATGGGATTTTAAATCAAATCATACAACATGTTCCATACCAGATGGGGGCAGTATACCTCCAGAAATACCTCCACGGCCACGCGCTCTCTCATGTCTTCAAACAATATGGGCGAGTGCTGTGTTGCTCTGTCTCCCTCGTGCATATTAATCAAATCAATTGACGCGATAGTAAAAGGTTGGAAGACCGCAGTTTCACGTGGAGCATTTGGAGATTTTCAGAGATTAGAGACTTAATGAACAACATCTCAATACTAAATTATAAGGGCCGTCTCATAGACAAGTCGGTGCATTTCGACGATATGGGAAAATTAAAGCCCAGGCTATTATTTCTAGTTTTATGATATTCGATTTGTTCATATTACATTTTTATCATTAGTTTGAATTAATTTGACAGACAGCATTACCTGATGTGGACCAAGCTAGCGTCTTTCAGAGCTGCCAACTCTCACAACACTTTTCACACACTTTCACGCCACACATCAATTTTGTCATGCACAGAAAAGGACACGGAGACCGATGTCAGCTCTCAGATTCTGTTCATTTTATTACGCAATTCAAACAATAAATACAGTATTGGCACTTTACACGACAGATCCCTAGCGCACGTGAACCAATCATCTCTACTAGCTAATGGTAAAAGAACACGAACACTGTTGAAAGATACAGTATGCTACAACTTACCAAAATGTATTCCTCATGCATAATATCGACCAATCATTTTTTTTTAACTCTTCCCTGAACTGAAATGTAGTAGTGGGCTGTATTTTCCACACGACTGACGTCAGGTTCAAGTACACACAAGCTGGCGCGAGCGCGACTTACTCGTGTACTGCAGTTTGGCTGGTGGTAACGTTGCCCGCCCGCATACCGCCTCCCATGGTCGAAACTGGTATTACGACACCTAACGGGCCGGGGCTAGTAATTTAGCATGCTAATTCAGGTTAATATCTCGGCAGCACTATAACTTGTCAGTTTTTTAATGACATCATCAACCTTATTTCTTCTCAATCTTTTGATGCGTGTTGCTCATTTTTGGGATATTTTAACCTCAATTTTTACAGATGGCACCTTTAATGTTGCCTCTGCTTATGATTAAGCTACATTTTGTTTCTTGCTCTCAGCTACTTTTCACTTCACACTTCTGGACAGCCCGGTCTCATCCCCAAGGCGTCATATAGGTGACGCTTTTGACATTTCGTCTACATCGTCTACATCTTTAGTGTCAATATGAGACCCAGATATATATGGGCGCCTCACCCCAAGGCGTCATCTAACTGACCATTTTGACCATGCTTCCATTTCTGACGCTTTAGGCACCCTTTAGCGTAAGTCAGATGACGCCCTAGGATCGCGTCCCTTACCCTACCCTACGCCATCTAAATGACGCTTTACCTTTAGCGTTCGGAGGCGTATATTTAGATTATACCGAGACATAAACTGCCATCAGGATTACATCTTTCCTGAAGATAGACAATAATAATAATAAATTATTTTATAATTATAGTTATTATATATAATTATAACACTGCACCTAGAAGAGATGTGCTGATGCCTCTGCAGTTCAGATCTCCAGATTGAAAATCTATATGACCCATCATAAAGAGGAGAATGACCACGGCGATGACCACGGTCTGTTGAGCAGTTCTTATAGTGGACAAGATTGGGCAAATATTCCACTATCCTAAATTCCCAAACGATTAAGAAGTGTAATTAAAAGGAAAGGGGATGTGACAGTGGTAAACATGCCTCTGTCCTAACTTATTTGGAGTGTTTAGCAGCCATCACAATCAAAACTGGTTTATATTTACAAAATAAAATTAAGTTGGTTAGTGATTACATTGGAAATATTTTTTGTAAGGTTCAAGAGATTAAACAAAATCACAGATTCATGATTTTATGGGATTTTACACAATGTCCCAACTCTTGGGGTTATGGAAATGGGGTTGCACTGTATAATAACCCTGCTCTGTTTCTGAATTCTTTTTTGATTCAATTCTGTAGAAAACACAAACACTCCCTATACATTTAAACACTTAAAATGTCTTATTATTCACAAAATATTTTATCAACTCAAGGCTGTAATTGCAACCCCTAAAATCATGCAATTATCAATGGGATACGCACACAGCATGCAACCAATCATGTGAGAGCATGGGGGGAATTTTAGTTTTAATTTATTGAAGCTGAGTGTTATGATCTGATTATATGAATGCTGGAATAGGAAGATCAACAGCAGAAATGGTACCGGGAATGCCAGGCTGCCCGAGTCTGGAATGATTGACAGCTCACAGCTAACCTGGCTCTTGTTGACTTCACACACCTCCATTTAATCAATTCTTACAAATGAAGGTGTGTTACTGTCCACATATGTCCACAAACACTGATGAATTAGTAAATTATAGAAAAATATGGTTGTGTTGCACCTTGCACGACTGGAAAAATTTTAACAATGAAATTCAAAGTTGTCTGGAAATACAGACTGTTTTCATGAATTAGAGTGTATTGTCAGCGAGTATATGGCCACATTTTCAATACTTCTTTTACCTTTAATGTTGGGCATATTATATGGACCGCTATCATTCTGCATCAAAGAAGCTTTCATTTCATCATCACTGTGTATTTATTTAACTTTTATACTTTCTACAACACATAAAAAACAAACTAGTTGATTGCTTGCAATGATTGCTTTTACTGGCAATATATATTACTTTTATTAAATAATTTTCAGACCTCATGCAGGTAAAATTTCAAAATCTCTAATCAGTGCAAGGAATTATAACATTTATGTGAAAAATAATTTATTACAGAGAAAAAGCAGTAATTTTACAAAAATAAAGCACATTTTTACAATCATTTTTTTTTTACATTACTCTGAAACAATCAAGTCAAGATTGTGACCATAAAAAGCCATTATTTCTAGATACAGCAAATAAATTCCTTCACACATAAAAATAATTAATAATTAGTTAATAAGTTAATTTTTTTTTCTTTTCTTTTTTTTTTTTTGTATGTGTGTGTGTAATGTGGACAATAAATATTACCCCAAGGCAATTCTTTGTGGAAATCTCTCGGGAGTGAAATAAGTAACATCATCAAGAAAAAGCATAGATCCAAGGCCCTGGACTTGGATCTTTAATTTTTCTGCAAGTAGAAGAAATAATATGGCTCAGTGCATAATATAATGATACAAAGCATACAAGTAAAATTTATATAATCTGCCGAAAGTGAAAAAGAAATATGAATACAGGTTATTAAATGTTTGTTTACCTGAGCTGTGGACCCATGGATATGGAATTAGCCTTGAAAAGAAAATGGATAATCAACTTGATTAATAAATGAATGATCACTGATAAGACTACACATATTTATTGTTAAGTCTTCTCTCATTTCGATGTCAATTAAAAAAGGGAGTCAATCTAACAATATTATATAATTTATTAGTTTAAAACAAACCTGTATTACAATGATTACATAAAACAGTTTGTCTGTATTATGCTTAACACAATTGGGCTGAATTACATAACTTGTAAGTAAATGATTAGCTTTTTCCTAGTTTGAAAGTTTTCCTTGCCACTATTGCCTTTTTCACTATAGCTTTGAAATGTACTATTGCATTGTGGTTGTGTTACCTGAGGTTACTTTGTCTGTTGTCGTGCCTGGTGTTGTGGTCTCATCTGTGGTGCTTTCTGTTGATGTAGTGGCCCCAGTTGTGATGCTTTCTACGGTTGTAGTCTCAGCTGTTGTACTTTCTGGGGTTGCTGTGCCTGTGGTCGTACTTTCTATTGTTGTAGTACCTAGAGTTGTGGTATAAGATGTGGTGCTTTCTACTGTTGTTGTCGCAGTTGTGGTACTTTCTGGAGTTGTTGTGCCTGTTGTCAAACTTTCTGTGGTAGTTGTACCTACAGTTGTGGTTTCAGGGGTGGTGTTTTCAGTTGTTGTGATCTCGCTTGTGGTACTTTCCGCTGTTGTGGTACCCACAGTTGTGGTGCTCTCTGATGTTGTGGTCTCGGTTGTTGTAATTTCTGGAGTTGTTGTGGCTGTGGTTGTACTTTCTGCTGTAGTAGTACCTACAGTTGTGGTCTCAGGGGTGGTGCTTTCAGTTGTTGTGATCTCGCTTGTGGTACTTTCCGCTGTAGTGGTACCGACAGTTGTGGTGCTTTCTTCTGTTGTGGTACCCACAGTTGTTGTGCTCTCTGATGTTGTGGTCTCAGTTGTTGTAATTTCTGGAGTTGTTGTGGCTGTGGTTGTACTTTCTGCTGTAGTAGTTCCTGCAGTTGTGGTCGCAGGGGTGGTGCTTTCTGTTGTTGTGATCTCGCCTGTGGTACTTTCCGCTGTTGTGGTACCCACAGTTGTGGTGCTCTCTGATGTTGTGGTCTCGGTTGTTGTACTTTCTGGAGTTGTTGTGGCTGTGGTTGTACTTTCTGCTGTAGTATTACCTGCAGTTGTGGTCTCAGGGGTGGTGCTTTCTGTTGTTGTGATCTCGCTTGTGGTACTTTCCGCTGTAGTGGTACCGACAGTTGTGGTGCTTTCTTCTGTTGTGGTACCCACAGTTGTTGTGCTCTCTGATGTTGTCGGCCCGGTTGTTGTACTTTCTGGAGTTGTTGTGGCTGTGGTTGTACTTTCTGCTGTAGTAGTTCCTGAAGTTGTGGTCGCAGGGGTGGTGCTTTCTTTTGTTGTGATCTCGCCTGTGGTACTTTCCGCTGTAGTGGTACCCACAGTTGTGGTGCTCTCTGATGTTGTGGTCTCGGTTGTTGTACTTTCTGGAGTTGTTGTGGCTGTGGTTGTACTTTCTGCTGTAGTAGTACCTGCAGTTGTGGTCTCAGGGGTGGTGCTTTCTGTTGTTGTGATCTCGCTTGTGGTACTTTCTGGTGTTGTGGTACCCACAGTTGTGGTGCTTTCTTCTGTTGTGGTACCCACAGTTGTTGTGCTCTCTGATGTTGTGGTCTCGGTTGTTGTACTTTCTGGAGTTGTTGTGGCTGTGGTTGTACTTTCTGCTGTAGTAGTTCCTGCAGTTGTGGTCTCAGGGGTGGTGCTTTCTGTTGTTGTGATCTCGCTTGTGGTACTTTCTGGTGTTGTGGTACCCACAGTTGTTGTGCTCTCTGATGTTGTGGTCTCGGTTGTTGTACTTTCTGGAGTTGTTGTGGCTGCAGTTGTACTTTCTGCTGTAGTACTACCTACAGTTGTGGTCTCAGGGGTGGTGCTTTCAGTTGTTGTGATCTCGCTTGTGGTACTTTCCGCTGTAGTGGTACCCACAGTTGTGGTGCTTTCTTCTGTTGTGGTACCCACAGTTGTTGTGCTCTCTGATGTTGTCGGCCCGGTTGTTGTACTTTCTGGAGTTGTTGTGGCTGTGGTTGTACTTTCTGCTGTAGTAGTTCCTGCAGTTGTGGTCTCAGGGGTGGTGCTTTCTGTTGTTGTGATCTCGCTTGTGGTACTTTCTGGTGTTGTGGTACCCACAGTTGTTGTGCTCTCTGATGTTGTGGTCTCGGTTGTTGTACTTTCTGGAGTTGTTGTGGCTGCAGTTGTACTTTCTGCTGTAGTACTACCTACAGTTGTGGTCTCAGGGGTGGTGCTTTCAGTTGTTGTGATCTCGCTTGTGGTACTTTCCGCTGTAGTGGTACCCACAGTTGTGGTGCTTTCTTCTGTTGTGGTACCCACAGTTGTTGTGCTCTCTGATGTTGTCGGCCCGGTTGTTGTACTTTCTGGAGTTGTTGTGGCTGTGGTTGTACTTTCTGCTGTAGTAGTTCCTGCAGTTGTGGTCTCAGGGGTGGTGCTTTCTGTTGTTGTGATCTCGCTTGTGGTACTTTCTGGTGTTGTGGTACCCACAGTTGTTGTGCTCTCTGATGTTGTGGTCTCGGTTGTTGTACTTTCTGGAGTTGTTGTGGCTGCAGTTGTACTTTCTGCTGTAGTACTACCTACAGTTGTGGTCTCAGGGGTGGTGCTTTCAGTTGTTGTGATCTCACTTGTGGTACTTTCCGCTGTAGTGGTACCCACAGTAGTGGTGCTTTCCGCTGTAGTAGTACCCACAGTTGTGGTGCTCTCTGATGTTGTGGTCTCGGTTGTTGTACTTTCTGGAGTTGTTGTGGCTGTGGTTGTACTTTCTGCTGTAGTAGTACCTGCAGTTGTGGTCTCAGGGGTGGTGCTTTCTGTTGTTGTGATCTCGCTTGTGGTACTTTCCGCTGTAGTGGTGCCCACAGTTGTGGTGCTTTCTTCTGTTGTGGTACCCACAGTTGTTGTGCTCTCTGATGTTGTGGTCTCGATTGTTGTACTTTCTGGAGTTGTTGTGGCTGCAGTTGTACTTTCTGCTGTAGTAGTACCTACAGTTGTGGTCTCAGGGGTGGTGCTTTCAGTTGTTGTGATCTCGCTTTTGGTACTTTCCGCTATAGTGGTACCCACAGTAGTGGTGCTTTCCGCTGTAGTGGTACCCACAGTTGTGGTGCTCTCTGATGTTGTGGTCTCGGTTGTTATACTTTCTGGAGTTGTTGTGGCTGTGGTTGTACTTTCTGCTGTAGTAGTACCTGCAGTTGTGGTCTCAGAGGTGGTGCTTTCTGTTGTTGTGATCTCGCTTGTGGTACTTTCCGCTGTTGTGGTACCCACAGTTGTGGTGCTCTCTGATGTTGTGGTCTCGGTTGTTGTACTTTCTGGAGTTGTTGTGGCTGTGGTTGTACTTTCTGCTGTAGTAGTACCTGCAGTTGTGGTCTCAGAGGTGGTGCTTTCTGTTGTTGTGATCTCGCTTGTGGTACTTTCCGCTGTTGTGGTACCCACAGTTGTGGTGCTCTCTGATGTTGTGGTCTCGGTTGTTGTACTTTCTGGAGTTGTTGTGGCTGCAGTTGTACTTTCTGCTGTAGTACTACCTACAGTTGTGGCCTCAGGGGTGGTGCTTTCAGTTGTTGTGATCTCGCTTGTGGTACTTTCCGCTGTAGTGGTACCCACAGTTGTGGTGCTTTCTTCTGTTGTGGTACCCACAGTTGTTGTGCTCTCTGATGTTGTGGTCTCGGTTGTTGTACTTTCTGGAGTTGTTGTGGCTGTACTTTCTGCTGTAGTAGTACCTGCAGTTGTGGTCTCAGGGGTGGTGCTTTCTGTTGTTGTGATTTCGCTTGTGGTACTTTCTGGTGTTGTGGTACCCACAGTTGTGGTGCTTTCTTTTGTTGTGGTACCCACAGTTGTTGTGCTCTCTGATGTTGTGGTCTCGGTTGTTGTACTTTCTGGAGTTGTTGTGGCTGCAGTTGTACTTTCTGCTGTAGTAGTACCTGCAGTTGTGGTCTCAGAGGTGGTGCTTTCAGTTGTTGTGATCTCGCTTGTGGTAATTTCCGCTGTAGTGGTACCCACAGTTGTGGTGCTTTCCGCTGTAGTGGTACCCACAGTTGTGGTGCTCTCTGATGTTGTGGTCTCGGTTGTTGTACTTTCTGGAGTTGTTGTGGCTGTGGTTGTACTTTCTGCTGTAGTAGTACTTGCAGTTGTGGTCTCAGGGGTGGTGCTTTCAGTTGTTGTGATCTCGCTTGTGGTACTTTCCGCTGTAGTGGTACCCACAGTAGTGGTGCTTTCCGCTGTAGTGGTACCCACAGTTGTGGTGCTCTCTGATGTTGTGGTCTCGGTTGTTGTACTTTCTGGAGTTGTTGTGGCTGTGGTTGTACTTTCTGCTGTAGTAGTACCTGCAGTGGTGGTCTCAGGGGTGGTGCTTTCTGTTGTTGTGATCTCGCTTGTGGTACTTTCCGCTGTTGTGGTACCCACAGTTGTGGTGCTTTCTTCTGTTGTGGTACCCACAGTTGTTGTGCTCTCTGATGTTGTGGTCTCGGTTGTTGTACTTTCTGGAGTTGTTGTGGCTGCAGTTGTACTTTCTGCTGTAGTACTACCTACAGTTGTGGTCTCAGGGGTGGTGCTTTCAGTTGTTGTGATCTCGCTTGTGGTACTTTCCGCTGTAGTGGTACCCACAGTAGTGGTGCTTTCCGCTGTAGTGGTACCCACAGTTGTGGTGCTCTCTGATGTTGTGGTCTCGGTTGTTGTACTTTCTGGAGTTGTTGTGGCTGCAGTTGTACTTTCTGCTGTAGTACTACCTACAGTTGTGGTCTCAGGGGTGGTGCTTTCTGTTGTTGTGATCTCGCTTGTGGTACTTTCCGCTGTTGTGGTACCCACAGTTGTGGTGCTCTCTGATGTTGTGGTCTCGGTTGTTGTACTTTCTGGAGTTGTTGTGGCTGTGGTTGTACTTTCTGCTGTAGTAGTACCTGCAGTTGTGGTCTCAGGGGTGGTGCTTTCAGTTGTTGTGATCTCGCTTGTGGTACTTTCCGCTGTAGTGGTACCCACAGTAGTGGTGCTTTCCGCTGTAGTGGTACCCACAGTTGTGGTGCTCTCTGATGTTGTGGTCTCGGTTGTTGTACTTTCTGGAGTTGTTGTGGCTGTGGTTGTACTTTCTGCTGTAGTAGTACCTGCAGTTGTGGTTTCAGGGGTGGTGCTTTCAGTTGTTGGGATCTCGCTTGTGGTACTTTCCGCTGTAGTGGTACCCACAGTTGTGGTGCTTTCTTCTGTTGTGGTACCCACAGTTGTTGTGCTCTCTGATGTTGTGGTCTCGGTTGTTGTACTTTCTGGAGTTGTTGTGGCTGCAGTTGTACTTTCTGCTGTAGTACTACCTACAGTTGTGGTCTCAGGGGTGGTGCTTTCTGTTGTTGTGATCTCGCTTGTGGTACTTTCCGCTGTTGTGGTACCCACAGTTGTGGTGCTCTCTGATGTTGTGGTCTCGGTTGTTGTACTTTCTGGAGTTGTTGTGGCTGTGGTTGTACTTTCTGCTGTAGTAGTACCTGCAGTTGTGGTCTCAAGGGTGGTGCTTTCTGTTGTTGTGATCTCGCTTGTGGTACTTTCTGGTGTTGTGGTACCCACAGTTTTGGTGCTTTCTTCTGTTGTGGTACCCACAGTTGTTGTGCTCTCTGATGTTGTGGTCTCGGTTGTTGTACTTTCTGGAGTTGTTGTGGCTGCAGTTGTACTTTCTGCTGTAGTACTACCTACAGTTGTGGTCTCAGGGGTGGTGCTTTCAGTTGTTGTGATCTCGCTTGTGGTAATTTCCGCTGTAGTGGTACCCACAGTTGTGGTGCTTTCCACTGTAGTGGTACCCACAGTTGTGGTGCTCTCTGATGTTGTGGTCTCGGTTGTTGTACTTTCTGGAGTTGTTGTGGCTGTGGTTGTACTTTCTGCTGTAGTAGTACCTGTAGTTGTGGTCTCAGGGGTGGTGCTTTCTGTTGTTGTGATCTCGCTTGTGGTACTTTCCGCTGTTGTGGTACCCACAGTTGTGGTGCTCTCTGATGTTGTGGTCTCGGTTGTTGTACTTTCTGGAGTTGTTGTGGCTGTGGTTGTACTTTCTGCTGTAGTAGTACCTGCAGTTGTGGTTTCAGGGGTGGTGCTTTCAGTTGTTGTGATCTCGCTTGTGGTACTTTCCGCTGTAGTGGTACCCACAGTTGTGGTGCTTTCTTCTGTTGTGGTACCCACAGTTGTTGTGCTCTCTGATGTTGTGGTCTCGGTTGTTGTACTTTCTGGAGTTGTTGTGGCTGTACTTTCTGCTGTAGTAGTACCTGCAGTTGTGGTCTCAGGGGTGGTGCTTTCTGTTGTTGTGATCTCGCTTGTGGTACTTTCTGGTGTTGTGGTACCCACAGTTGTGGTGCTTTCTTCTGTTGTGGTACCCACAGTTGTTGTGCTCTCTGATGTTGTGGTCTCGGTTGTTGTACTTTCTGGAGTTGTTGTGGCTGCAGTTGTACTTTCTGCTGTAGTAGTACCTGCAGTTGTGGTCTCAGAGGTGGTGCTTTCAATTGTTGTGATCTCGCTTGTGGTAATTTCCGCTGTAGTGGTACCCACAGTTGTGGTGCTTTCCGCTGTAGTGGTACCCACAGTTGTGGTGCTCTCTGATGTTGTGGTCTCGGTTGTTGTACTTTCTGGAGTTGTTGTGGCTGTGGTTGTACTTTCTGCTGTAGTAGTACCTGCAGTTGTGGTCTCAGGGGTGGTGCTTTCAGTTGTTGTGATCTCGCTTGTGGTACTTTCCGCTGTAGTGGTACCCACAGTTGTGGTGCTTTCCGCTGTAGTGGTACCCACAGTTGTGGTGCTCTCTGATGTTGTGGTCTCGGTTGTTGTACTTTCTGGAGTTGTTGTGGCTGTGGTTGTACTTTCTGCTGTAGTAGTACCTGCAGTTGTGGTCTCAGGGGTGGTGCTTTCAGTTGTTGTGATCTCGCTTGTGGTACTTTCCGCTGTAGTGGTACCCACAGTTGTGGTGCTTTCTTCTGTTGTGGTACCCACAGTTGTTGTGCTCTCTGATGTTGTGGTCTCGGTTGTTGTACTTTCTGGAGTTGTTGTGGCTGCAGTTGTACTTTCTGCTGTAGTACTACCTACAGTTGTGGTCTCAGGGGTGGTGCTTTCTGTTGTTGTGATCTCGCTTGTGGTACTTTCCGCTGTTGTGGTACCCACAGTTGTGGTGCTCTCTGATGTTGTGGTCTCGGTTGTTGTACTTTCTGGAGTTGTTGTGGCTGTGGTTGTACTTTCTGCTGTAGTAGTACCTGCAGTTGTGGTCTCAAGGGTGGTGCTTTCTGTTGTTGTGATCTCGCTTGTGGTACTTTCTGGTGTTGTGGTACCCACAGTTTTGGTGCTTTCTTCTGTTGTGGTACCCACAGTTGTTGTGCTCTCTGATGTTGTGGTCTCGGTTGTTGTACTTTCTGGAGTTGTTGTGGCTGCAGTTGTACTTTCTGCTGTAGTAGTACCTACAGTTGTGGTCTCAGGGGTGGTGCTTTCAGTTGTTGTGATCTCGCTTGTGGTAATTTCCGCTGTAGTGGTACCCACAGTTGTGGTGCTTTCCACTGTAGTGGTACCCACAGTTGTGGTGCTCTCTGATGTTGTGGTCTCGGTTGTTGTACTTTCTGGAGTTGTTGTGGCTGTGGTTGTACTTTCTGCTGTAGTAGTACCTGTAGTTGTGGTCTCAGGGGTGGTGCTTTCTGTTGTTGTGATCTCGCTTGTGGTACTTTCCGCTGTTGTGGTACCCACAGTTGTGGTGCTCTCTGATGTTGTGGTCTCGGTTGTTGTACTTTCTGGAGTTGTTGTGGCTGTGGTTGTACTTTCTGCTGTAGTAGTACCTGCAGTTGTGGTTTCAGGGGTGGTGCTTTCAGTTGTTGTGATCTCGCTTGTGGTACTTTCCGCTGTAGTGGTACCCACAGTTGTGGTGCTTTCTTCTGTTGTGGTACCCACAGTTGTTGTGCTCTCTGATGTTGTGGTCTCGGTTGTTGTACTTTCTGGAGTTGTTGTGGCTGTACTTTCTGCTGTAGTAGTACCTGCAGTTGTGGTCTCAGGGGTGGTGCTTTCTGTTGTTGTGATCTCGCTTGTGGTACTTTCTGGTGTTGTGGTACCCACAGTTGTGGTGCTTTCTTCTGTTGTGGTACCCACAGTTGTTGTGCTCTCTGATGTTGTGGTCTCGGTTGTTGTACTTTCTGGAGTTGTTGTGGCTGCAGTTGTACTTTCTGCTGTAGTAGTACCTACAGTTGTGGTCTCAGGGGTGGTGCTTTCAGTTGTTGTGATCTCGCTTGTGGTAATTTCCGCTGTAGTGGTACCCACAGTTGTGGTGCTTTCCGCTGTAGTGGTACCCACAGTTGTGGTGCTCTCTGATGTTGTGGTCTCGGTTGTTGTACTTTCTGGAGTTGTTGTGGCTGTGGTTGTACTTTCTGCTGTAGTAGTACCTGCAGTTGTGGTCTCAGGGGTGGTGCTTTCAGTTGTTGTGATCTCGCTTGTGGTACTTTCTGCTGTAGTGGTACCCACAGTTGTGGTGCTTTCCGCTGTAGTGGTACCCACAGTTGTGGTGCTCTCTGATGTTGTGGTCTCGGTTGTTGTACTTTCTGGAGTTGTTGTGGCTGTGGTTGTACTTTCTGCTGTAGTAGTACCTGCAGTTGTGGTCTCAGGGGTGGTGCTTTCAGTTGTTGTGATCTCGCTTGTGGTACTTTCCGCTGTAGTGGTACCCACAGTTGTGGTGCTTTCTGCTGTTGTGGTACCCACAGTTGTGGTGCTCTCTGATGTTGTGGTCTCGGTTGTTGTACTTTCTGGAGTTGTTGTGGCTGTGGTTGTACTTTCTGCTGTAGTAGTACCTGCAGTTGTGGTCTCAGGGGTGGTGCTTTCTGTTGTTGTGATCTCGCTTGTGGTACTTTCCGCTGTTGTGGTACCCACAGTTGTGGTGCTTTCTTCTGTTGTGGTACCCACAGTTGTTGTGCTCTCTGATGTTGTGGTCTCGGTTGTTGTACTTTCTGGAGTTGTTGTGGCTGCAGTTGTACTTTCTGCTGTAGTAGTACCTACAGTTGTGGTCTCAGGGGTGGTGCTTTCAGTTGTTGTGATCTCGCTTGTGGTACTTTCCGCTGTAGTGGTACCCACAGTTGTGGTGCTTTCCGCTGTAGTGGTACCCACAGTTGTGGTGCTCTCTGATGTTGTGGTCTCGGTTGTTGTACTTTCTGGAGTTGTTGTGGCTGTGGTTGTACTTTCTGCTGTAGTAGTACCTGCAGTTGTGGTCTCAGGGGTGGTGCTTTCAGTTGTTGTGATCTCGCTTGTGGTACTTTCCGCTGTAGTGGTACCCACAGTTGTGGTGCTTTCTTCTGTTGTGGTACCCACAGTTGTTGTGCTCTCTGATGTTGTGGTCTCGGTTGTTGTACTTTCTGGAGTTGTTGTGGCTGCAGTTGTACTTTCTGCTGTAGTAGTACCTACAGTTGTGGTCTCAGGGGTGGTGCTTTCTGTTGTTGTGATCTCGCTTGTGGTACTTTCCGCTGTTGTGGTACCCACAGTTGTGGTGCTCTCTGATGTTGTGGTCTCGGTTGTTGTACTTTCTGGAGTTGTTGTGGCTGTGGTTGTACTTTCTGCTGTAGTAGTACCTGCAGTTGTGGTTTCAGGGGTGGTGCTTTCAGTTGTTGGGATCTCGCTTGTGGTACTTTCCGCTGTAGTGGTACCCACAGTTGTGGTACTTTCTTCTGTTGTGGTACCCACAGTTGTTGTGCTCTCTGATGTTGTCGGCCCGGTTGTTGTACTTTCTGGAGTTGTTGTGGCTGTGGTTGTACTTTCTGCTGTAGTAGTACCTGCAGTTGTGGTCTCAGGGGTGGTGCTTTCTGTTGTTGTGATCTCGCTTGTGGTACTTTCCGCTGTTGTGGTACCCACAGTTGTGGTGCTTTCTTCTGTTGTGGTACCCACAGTTGTTGTGCTCTCTGATGTTGTGGTCTCGGTTGTTGTACTTTCTGGAGTTGTTGTGGCTGTGGTTGTACTTTCTGCTGTAGTAGTACCTGCAGTTGTGGTCTCAAGGGTGGTGCTTTCTGTTGTTGTGATCTCGCTTGTGGTACTTTCTGGTGTTGTGGTACCCACAGTTGTGGTGCTTTCTTCTGTTGTGGTACCCACAGTTGTTGTGCTCTCTGATGTTGTGGTCTCGGTTGTTGTACTTTCTGGAGTTGTTGTGGCTGTGGTTGTACTTTCTGCTGTAGTACTACCTACAGTTGTGGTCTCAGGGGTGGTGCTTTCAGTTGTTGTGATCTCGCTTGTGGTAATTTCCGCTGTAGTAGTACCCACAGTTGTGGTGCTCTCTGATGTTGTGGTCTCGGTTGTTGTACTTTCTGGAGTTGTTGTGGCTGTGGTTGTACTTTCTGCTGTAGTAGTACCTGCAGTTGTGGTCTCAGGGGTGGTGCTTTCTGTTGTTGTGATCTCGCTTGTGGTACTTTCCGCTGTAGTGGTACCCACAGTTGTGGTGCTCTCTGATGTTGTGGTCTCGGTTGTTGTACTTTCTGGAGTTGTTGTGGCTGTGGTTGTACTTTCTGCTGTAGTAGTACCTGCAGTTGTGGTCTCAGGGGTGGTGCTTTCAGTTGTTGTGATCTCGCTTGTGGTACTTTCCGCTGTAGTGGTACCCACAGTAGTGGTGCTTTCCGCTGTAGTGGTACCCACAGTTGTGGTGCTTTCTTCTGTTGTGGTACCCACAGTTGTTGTGCTCTCTGATGTTGTCGGCCCGGTTGTTGTACTTTCTGGAGTTGTTGTGGCTGTGGTTGTACTTTCTGCTGTAGTAGTGCCTGCAGTTGTGGTCTCAGGGGTGGTGCTTTCTGTTGTTGTGATCTCGCTTGTGGTACTTTCTGGTGTTGTGGTACCCACAGTTGTGGTGCTTTCTTCTGTTGTGGTACCCACAGTTGTGGTGCTTTCTTCTGTTGTGGTACCCACAGTTGTGGTACTTTCCGCTGTAGTGGTACCCACAGTTGTGGTGCTCTTTGATGTTGTGGTCTCGGTTGTTGTACTTTCTGGAGTTGTTGTGGCTGCAGTTGTACTTTCTGCTGTAGTAGTACTTGCAGTTGTGGTTTCAGGGGTGGTGCTTTCAGTTGTTGTGATCTCGCTTGTGGTAATTTCCGCTGTAGTGGTACCCACAGTTGTGGTGCTTTCTTCTGTTGTGGTACCCACAGTTGTTGTGCTCTCTGATGTTGTCGGCCCGGTTGTTGTACTTTCTGGAGTTGTTGTGGCTGTGGTTGTACTTTCTGCTGTAGTAGTACCTGCAGTTGTGGTCTCAGGGGTGGTGCTTTTTGTTGTTGTGATCTCGCTTGTGGTACTTTCTGGTGTTGTGGTACCCACAGTTGTGGTGCTTTCTTCTGTTGTGGTACCCACAGTTGTTGTGCTCTCTGATGTTGTGGTCTCGGTTGTTGTACTTTCTGGAGTTGTTGTGGCTGCAGTTGTACTTTCTGCTGTAGTACTACCTACAGTTGTGGTCTCAGGGGTGGTGCTTTCAGTTGTTGTGGTCTCGGTTGTTGTACTTTCTGGAGTTGTTGTGGCTGCAGTTGTACTTTCTGCTGTAGTAGTACCTGCAGTTGTGGTCTCAGGGGTGGTGCTTTCTGTTGTTGTGATCTCGCTTGTGGTACTTTCCGCTGTTGTGGTACCCACAGTTGTTGTGCTCTCTGATGTTGTGGTCTCGGTTGTTGTACTTTCTGGAGTTGTTGTGGCTGTGGTTGTACTTTCTGCTGTAGTAGTACCTGCAGTTGTGGTCTCAGGGGTGGTGCTTTCTGTTGTTGTGATCTCGCTTGTGGTACTTTCTGGTGTTGTGGTACCCACAGTTGTGGTGCTTTCTTCTGTTGTGGTACCCACAGTTGTTGTGCTCTCTGATGTTGTGGTCTCGGTTGTTGTACTTTCTGGAGTTGTTGTGGCTGCAGTTGTACTTTCTGCTGTAGTAGTACCTGCAGTTGTGGTCTCAGGGGTGGTGCTTTCAGTTGTTGTGATCTCGCTTGTGGTAATTTCCGCTGAAGTGGTACCCACAGTTGTGGTGCTTTCCGCTGTAGTGGTACCCACAGTTGTGGTGCTTTCTTCTGTTGTGGTACCCACAGTTGTGGTGCTCTCTGATGTTGTGGTCTCGGTTGTTGTACTTTCTGGAGTTGTTGTGGCTGTGGTTGTACTTTCTGCTGTAGTAGTACCTGCAGTTGTGGTCTCAGGGGTGGTGCTTTCTGTTGTTGTGATCTCGCTTGTGGTACTTTCTGGTGTTGTGGTACCCACAGTTGTGGTGCTTTCTTCTGTTGTGGTACCCACAGTTGTTGTGCTCTCTGATGTTGTGGTCTCGGTTGTTGTACTTTCTGGAGTTGTTGTGGCTGCAGTTGTACTTTCTGCTGTAGTAGTACCTGCAGTTGTGGTCTCAGGGGTGGTGCTTTCTGTTGTTGTGATCTCGCTTGTGGTACTTTCCGCTGTTGTGGTACCCACAGTTGTTGTGCTCTCTGATGTTGTGGTCTCGGTTGTTGTACTTTCTGGAGTTGTTGTGGCTGTGGTTGTACTTTCTGGAGTTGTTGTGGCTGCAGTTGTACTTTCTGCTGTAGTAGTACCTGCAGTTGTGGTCTCAGGGGTGGTGCTTTCTGTTGTTGTGATCTCGCTTGTGGTACTTTCCGCTGTTGTGGTACCCACAGTTGTTGTGCTCTCTGATGTTGTGGTCTCGGTTGTTGTACTTTCTGGAGTTGTTGTGGCTGTGGTTGTACTTTCTGCTGTAGTAGTACCTGCAGTTGTGGTCTCAAGGGTGGTGCTTTCTGTTGTTGTGATCTCGCTTGTGGTACTTTCTGGTGTTGTGGTACCCACAGTTGTGGTGCTTTCTTCTGTTGTGGTACCCACAGTTGTTGTGCTCTCTGATGTTGTGGTCTCGGTTGTTGTTCTTTCTGGAGTTGTTGTGGCTGCAGTTGTACTTTCTGCTGTAGTACTACCAACAGTTGTGGTCTCAGGGGTGGTGCTTTCAGTTGTTGTGATCTCGCTTGTGGTAATTTCCGCTGAAGTGGTACCCACAGTTGTGGTGCTTTCCGCTGTAGTGGTACCCACAGTTGTGGTGCTTTCTTCTGTTGTGGTACCCACAGTTGTTGTGCTCTCTGATGTTGTGGTCTCGGTTGTTGTACTTTCTGGAGTTGTTGTGGCTGCAGTTGTACTTTCTGCTGTAGTACTACCTACAGTTGTGGTCTCAGGGGTGGTGCTTTCTGTTGTTGTGATCTCGCTTGTGGTACTTTCCGCTGTTGTGGTACCCACAGTTGTGGTGCTCTCTGATGTTGTGGTCTCGGTTGTTGTACTTTCTGGAGTTGTTGTGGCTGTGGTTGTACTTTCTGCTGTAGTAGTACCTGCAGTTGTGGTTTCAGGGGTGGTGCTTTCAGTTGTTGTGATCTCGCTTGTGGTACTTTCCGCTGTAGTGGTACCCACAGTTGTGGTGCTTTCTTCTGTTGTGGTACCCACAGTTGTTGTGCTCTCTGATGTTGTGGTCTCGGTTGTTGTACTTTCTGGAGTTGTTGTGGCTGTGGTTGTACTTTCTGCTGTAGTAGTACCTGCAGTTGTGGTCTCAGGGGTGGTGCTTTCTGTTGTTGTGATCTCGCTTGTGGTACTTTCCGCTGTTGTGGTACCCACAGTTGTGGTGCTTTCTTCTGTTGTGGTACCCACAGTTGTTGTGCTCTCTGATGTTGTGGTCTCGGTTGTTGTACTTTCTGGAGTTGTTGTGGCTGTGGTTGTACTTTCTGCTGTAGTAGTACCTGCAGTTGTGGTCTCAGGGTGGTGCTTTCTGTTGTTGTGATCTCGCTTGTGGTACTTTCTGGTGTTGTGGTACCCACAGTTGTGGTGCTTTCTTCTGTTGTGGTACCCACAGTTGTTGTGCTCTCTGATGTTGTGGTCTCGGTTGTTGTACTTTCTGGAGTTGTTGTGGCTGTGGTTGTACTTTCTGCTGTAGTACTACCTACAGTTGTGGTCTCAGGGGTGGTGCTTTCAGTTGTTGTGATCTCGCTTGTGGTAATTTCCGCTGTAGTAGTACCCACAGTTGTGGTGCTCTCTGATGTTGTGGTCTCGGTTGTTGTACTTTCTGGAGTTGTTGTGGCTGTGGTTGTACTTTCTGCTGTAGTAGTACCTGCAGTTGTGGTCTCAGGGGTGGTGCTTTCTGTTGTTGTGATCTCGCTTGTGGTACTTTCCGCTGTAGTGGTACCCACAGTTGTGGTGCTCTCTGATGTTGTGGTCTCGGTTGTTGTACTTTCTGGAGTTGTTGTGGCTGTGGTTGTACTTTCTGCTGTAGTAGTACCTGCAGTTGTGGTCTCAGGGGTGGTGCTTTCAGTTGTTGTGATCTCGCTTGTGGTACTTTCCGCTGTAGTGGTACCCACAGTAGTGGTGCTTTCCGCTGTAGTGGTACCCACAGTTGTGGTGCTTTCTTCTGTTGTGGTACCCACAGTTGTTGTGCTCTCTGATGTTGTGGTCTCGGTTGTTGTACTTTCTGGAGTTGTTGTGGCTGCAGTTGTACTTTCTGCTGTAGTAGTACCTGCAGTTGTGGTCTCAGGGGTGGTGCTTTCTGTTGTTGTGATCTCGCTTGTGGTACTTTCTGGTGTTGTGGTACCCACAGTTGTTGTGCTCTCTGATGTTGTGGTCTCGGTTGTTGTACTTTCTGGAGTTGTTGTGGCTGCAGTGTTACTTTCTGCTGTAGTAGTACCTACAGTTGTGGTCTCAGGGGTGGTGCTTTCAGTTGTTGTGATCTCGCTTGTGGTACTTTCCGCTGTAGTGGTACCCACAGTTGTGGTGCTCTCTGATGTTGTGGTCTCGGTTGTTGTACTTTCTGGAGTTGTTGTGGCTGTGGTTGTACTTTCTGCTGTAGTAGTACCTGCAGTTGTGGTTTCAGGGGTGGTGCTTTCAGTTGTTGTGATCTCGCTTGTGGTACTTTCTGGTGTTGTGGTACCCACAGTTGTGGTGCTTTCTTCTGTTGTGGTACCCACAGTTGTTGTGCTCTCTGATGTTGTGGTCTCGGTTGTTGTACTTTCTGGAGTTGTTGTGGCTGCAGTTGTACTTTCTGCTGTAGTAGTACCTACAGTTGTGGTCTCAGGGGTGGTGCTTTCAGTTGTTGTGATCTCGCTTGTGGTACTTTCCGCTGTAGTGGTACCCACAGTTGTGGTGCTTTCTTCTGTAGTGGTACCCACAGTTGTGGTGCTCTCTGATGTTGTGGTCTCGGTTGTTGTACTTTCTGGAGTTGTTGTGGCTGTGGTTGTACTTTCTGCTGTAGTAGTACCTGCAGTTGTGGTCTCAGGGGTGGTGCTTTCTGTTGTTGTGATCTCGCTTGTGGTACTTTCCGCTGTTGTGGTACCCACAGTTGTGGTGCTCTCTGATGTTGTGGTCTCGGTTGTTGTACTTTCTGGAGTTGTTGTGGCTGTGGTTGTACTTTCTGCTGTAGTAGTACCTGCAGTTGTGGTTTCAGGGGTGGTGCTTTCAGTTGTTGTGATCTCGCTTGTGGTACTTTCCGCTGTAGTGGTACCCACAGTTGTGGTGCTTTCTTCTGTTGTGGTACCCACAGTTGTTGTGCTCTCTGATGTTGTCGGCCCGGTTGTTGTACTTTCTGGAGTTGTTGTGGCTGTGGTTGTACTTTCTGCTGTAGTAGTGCCTGCAGTTGTGGTCTCAGGGGTGGTGCTTTCTGTTGTTGTGATCTCGCTTGTGGTACTTTCTGGTGTTGTGGTACCCACAGTTGTGGTGCTTTCTTCTGTTGTGGTACCCACAGTTGTGGTGCTTTCTTCTGTTGTGGTACCCACAGTTGTGGTACTTTCCGCTGTAGTGGTACCCACAGTTGTGGTGCTCTCTGATGTTGTGGTCTCGGTTGTTGTACTTTCTGGAGTTGTTGTGGCTGCAGTTGTACTTTCTGCTGTAGTAGTACTTGCAGTTGTGGTTTCAGGGGTGGTGCTTTCAGTTGTTGTGATCTCGCTTGTGGTAATTTCCGCTGTAGTGGTACCCACAGTTGTGGTGCTTTCTTCTGTTGTGGTACCCACAGTTGTTGTGCTCTCTGATGTTGTCGGCCCGGTTGTTGTACTTTCTGGAGTTGTTGTGGCTGTGGTTGTACTTTCTGCTGTAGTAGTACCTGCAGTTGTGGTCTCAGGGGTGGTGCTTTCTGTTGTTGTGATCTCGCTTGTGGTACTTTCCGCTGTAGTGGTACCCACAGTTGTGGTGCTTTCTTCTGTTGTGGTACCCACAGTTGTTGTGCTCTCTGATGTTGTGGTCTCGGTTGTTGTACTTTCTGGAGTTGTTGTGGCTGCAGTTGTACTTTCTGCTGTAGTACTACCTACAGTTGTGGTCTCAGGGGTGGTGCTTTCAGTTGTGATCTCGCTTGTGGTACTTTCCGCTATAGTGGTACCCACAGTAGTGGTGCTTTCCGCTGTAGTGGTACCAACAGTTGTGGTGCTCTCTGATGTTGTGGTCTCGGTTGTTGTACTTTCTGGAGTTGTTGTGGCTGTGGTTGTACTTTCTGCTGTAGTAGTACCTGCAGTTGTGGTCTCAGGGGTGGTGCTTTCTGTTGTTGTGATCTCGCTTGTGGTACTTTCTGGTGTTGTGGTACCCACAGTTGTGGTGCTTTCTTCTGTTGTGGTACCCACAGTTGTTGTGCTCTCTGATGTTGTGGTCTCGGTTGTTGTACTTTCTGGAGTTGTTGTGGCTGCAGTTGTACTTTCTGCTGTAGTACTACCTACAGTTGTGGTCTCAGGGGTGGTGCTTTCAGTTGTTGTGGTCTCGGTTGTTGTACTTTCTGGAGTTGTTGTGGCTGCAGTTGTACTTTCTGCTGTAGTAGTACCTGCAGTTGTGGTCTCAGGGGTGGTGCTTTCTGTTGTTGTGATCTCGCTTGTGGTACTTTCCGCTGTTGTGGTACCCACAGTTGTTGTGCTCTCTGATGTTGTGGTCTCGGTTGTTGTACTTTCTGGAGTTGTTGTGGCTGTGGTTGTACTTTCTGCTGTAGTAGTACCTGCAGTTGTGGTCTCAAGGGTGGTGCTTTCTGTTGTTGTGATCTCGCTTGTGGTACTTTCTGGTGTTGTGGTACCCACAGTTGTGGTGCTTTCTTCTGTTGTGCTCTCTGATGTTGTGGTCTCGGTTGTTGTTCTTTCTGGAGTTGTTGTGGCTGCAGTTGTACTTTCTGCTGTAGTACTACCAACAGTTGTGGTCTCAGGGGTGGTGCTTTCAGTTGTTGTGATCTCGCTTGTGGTAATTTCCGCTGAAGTGGTACCCACAGTTGTGGTGCTTTCCGCTGTAGTGGTACCCACAGTTGTGGTGCTCTCTGATGTTGTGGTCTCGGTTGTTGTACTTTCTGGAGTTGTTGTGGCTGTGGTTGTACTTTCTGCTGTAGTAGTACCTGCAGTTATGGTCTCAGGGGTGGTGCTTTCTGTTGTTGTGATCTCGCTTGTGGTACTTTCTGGTGTTGTGGTGCTTTCTTCTGTTGTGGTACCCACAGTTGTTGTGCTCTCTGATGTTGTGGTCTCGGTTGTTGTACTTTCTGGAGTTGTTGTGGCTGTGGTTGTACTTTCTGCTGTAGTAGTACCTGCAGTTGTGGTCTCAGGGGTGGTGCTTTCTGTTGTTGTGATCTCGCTTGTGGTACTTTCCGCTGTTGTGGTACCCACAGTTGTGGTGCTCTCTGATGTTGTGGTCTCGGTTGTTGTACTTTCTGGAGTTGTTGTGGCTGTGGTTGTACTTTCTGCTGTAGTAGTACCTGCAGTTGTGGTCTCAGGGGTGGTGCTTTCAGTTGTTGTGATCTCGCTTGTGGTACTTTCCGCTGTAGTGGTACCCACAGTTGTGGTGCTTTCTTCTGTTGTGGTACCCACAGTTGTTGTGCTCTCTGATGTTGTCTGCCCGGTTGTTGTACTTTCTTGAGTTGTTGTGGCTGTGGTTGTACTTTCTGCTGTAGTAGTACCTGCAGTTGTGGCCTCAGGGGTGGTGCTTTCTGTTGTTGTGATCTCGCTTGTGGTACTTTCCGCTGTTGTGGTACCCACAGTTGTGGTGCTTTCTTCTGTTGTGGTACCCACAGTTGTTGTGCTCTCTGATGTTGTGGTCTCGGTTGTTGTACTTTCTGGAGTTGTTGTGGCTGCAGTTGTACTTTCTGCTGTAGTAGTACCTGCAGTTGTGGTCTCAAGGGTGGTGCTTTCAGTTGTTGTGATCTCGCTTGTGGTACTTTCCGCTGTAGTGGTACCCAGATTAGTGGTGCTTTCCGCTGTAGTGGTACCCACAGTTGTGGTGCTTTCCGCTGTAGTGGTACCCACAGTTGTGGTGCTCTCTGATGTTGTGGTCTCGGTTGTTGTACTTTCTGGAGTTGTTGTGGCTGTGGTTGTACTTTCTGCTGTAGTAGTACCTGCAGTTGTGGTCTCAGGGGTGGTGCTTTCTGTTGTTGTGATCTCGCTTGTGGTACTTTCCGCTGTTGTGGTACCCACAGTTGTGGTGCTTTCTTCTGTTGTGGTACCCACAGTTGTTGTGCTCTCTGATGTTGTGGTCTCGGTTGTTGTACTTTCTGGAGTTGTTGTGGCTGTGGTTGTACTTTCTGCTGTAGTAGTTCCTGCAGTTGTGTTCTCAAGGGTGGTGCTTTCTGTTGTTGTGATCTCGCTTGTGGTACTTTCTGGTGTTGTGGTACCCACAGTAGTGGTGCTTTCCGCTGTAGTGGTACCCACAGTTGTGGTGCTCTCTGATGTTATGGTCTCGGTTGTTGTACTTTCTGGAGTTGTTGTGGCTGCAGTTGTACTTTCTGCTGTAGTAGTACCTGCAGTTGTGGTCTCAGGGGTGGTGCTTTCTGTTGTTGTGATCTCGCTTGTGGTACTTTCCGCTGTAGTGGTACCCACAGTTGTGGTGCTCTCTGATGTTGTGGTCTCGGTTGTTGTACTTTCTGGAGTTGTTGTGGCTGTGGTTGTACTTTCTGCTGTAGTAGTACCTGCAGTTGTGGTCTCAGGGGTGGTGCTTTCTGTTGTTGTGATCTCGCTTGTGGTACTTTCTGGTGTTGTGGTACCCACAGTTGTGGTGCTTTCATCTGTTGTGGTACCCACAGTTGTTGTGCTCTCTGATGTTGTGGTCTCGGTTGTTGTACTTTCTGGAGTTGTTGTGGCTGCAGTTGTACTTTCTGCTGTAGTAGTACCTACAGTTGTGGTCTCAGGGGTGGTGCTTTCAGTTGTTGTGATCTCGCTTGTGGTACTTTCCGCTGTAGTGGTACCCACAGTTGTGGTGCTCTCTGATGTTGTCGTCTCGGTTGTTGTACTTTCTGGAGTTGTTGTGGCTGTGGTTGTACTTTCTAATGTAGTAGTACCTGCAGTTGTGGTTTCAGGGGTGGTGCTTTCAGTTGTTGTGATCTCGCTTGTGGTACTTTCCGCTGTAGTGGTACCCACAGTTGTGGTGCTCTCTGATGTTGTGGTCTCGGTTGTTGTACTTTCTGGAGTTGTTGTGGCTGCAGTTGTACTTTCTGCTGTAGTAGTACCTGCAGTTGTGGTTTCAGGGGTGGTGCTTTCAGTTGTTGTGATCTCGCTTGTGGTACTTTCCGCTGTACTGGTACCCACAGTTGTGGTGCTCTCTGCTGTTGTGGTCTCGGTTGTTGTTTTTTCTGGAGTTGTTGTCGCTGTGGTTGTACTTTCTAATGTAGTAGTACCTACAGTTATAGTCTCAGGGGTGGTGCTTTCAGTTGTTGTGATCTCGCTTGTGGTACTTTCCGCTATAGTGGTACCCACAGTTGTGGTGCTCTCTGATGTTGTGGTCTCGGTTGTTGTACTTTCTGGAGTTGTTGTGGCTGTGGTTGTACTTTCTGCTGTAGTAGTACCTGCAGTTGTGGTCTCAGGGGTGGTGCTTTCTGTTGTTGTGATCTCGTTTGTGGTACTTTCTGGTGTTGTGGTACCCACAGTTGTTGTGCTTTCTTCTGTTGTGGTACCCACAGTTGTTGTGCTCTCTGATGTTGTGGTCTCGGTTGTTGTACTTTCTGGAGTTGTTGTGGCTGTGGTTGTACTTTCTGCTGTAGTAGTACCTGCAGTTGTGGTCTCAGGGGTGGTGCTTTCTGTTGTTGTGATCTCGCTTGTGGTACTTTCTGGTGTTGTGGTACCCACAGTTGTGGTGCTTTCTTCTGTTGTGGTACCCACAGTTGTTGTGCTCTCTGATGTTGTGGTCTCAGTTGTTGTACTTTCTGGAGTTGTTGTGGCTGTGGTTGTACTTTCTGCAGTAGTAGTACCTGCAGTTGTTGTCTCAGGGGTGGTGCTTTCTGTTGTTGTGATCTCGCTTGTGGTACTTTCTGGTGTTGTGGTACCCACAGTTGTGGTGCTTTCTTCTGTTGTGGTACCCACAGTTGTTGTGCTCTCTGATGTTGTGGTCTCGGTTGTTGTACTTTCTGGAGTTGTTGTGGCTGTGGTTGTACTTTCTGCTGTAGTAGTACCTGCAGTTGTGGTCTCAGGGGTGGTGCTTTCTGTTGTTGTGATCTCGCTTGTGGTACTTTCCGCTGTTGTAGTACCCACAGTTGTGGTGCTCTCTGATGTTGTGGTCTCGGTTGTTGTACTTTCTGGAGTTGTTGTGGCTGTGGTTGTACTTTCTGCTGTAGTAGTAACTGCAGTTGTGGTCTCAGGGGTGGTGCTTTCAGTTGTTGTGATCTCGCTTGTGGTACTTTCCGCTGTAGTGGTACCCACAGTTGTGGTGCTTTCTTCTGTTGTGGTACCCACAGTTGTTGTGCTCTCTGATGTTGTCTGCCCGGTTGTTGTACTTTCTGGAGTTGTTGTGGCTGTGGTTGTACTTTCTGCTGTAGTAGTACCTGCAGTTGTGGTCTGAGGGGTGGTGCTTTCTGTTGTTGTGATCTCGCTTGTAGTACTTTCCGCTGTTGTGGTACCCACAGTTGTGGTGCTCTCTGATGTTGTGGTCTCAGTTGTTGTACTTTCTGGAGTTGTTGTGATTGTGTTTGTACTTTCTGCTGTAGTAGTACCTCTAGTTGTGGTCTCAGGGGTGGTGCTTTCTGTTGTTGTGATCTCGCTTGTGGTACTTTCCGCTGTAGTGGTACCCACAGTTGTGGTACTTTCCGCTGTAGTGGTACCCACAGTTGTGGTGCTCTCTGATGTTGTGGTCTCAGTTGTTGTACTTTCTGGAGTTGTTGTGGCTGTGGTTGTACTTTCTGCTGTAGTAGTTCCTGCAGTTGTGGTCTCAGGGGTGGTGCTTTCTGTTGTTGTGATCTCGCCTGTGGTACTTTCCGCAGTTGTGGTACCCACAGTTGTGGTGCTCTCTGATGTTGTGGTCTCGGTTGTTGTACTTTCTGGAGTTGTTGTGGCTGCAGTTGTACTTTCTGCTGTAGTAGTACCTACAGTTGTGGTCTCAGGGGTGGTGCTTTCAGTTGTTGTGATCTCGCTTGTGGTACTTTCCGCTGAAGTGGTACCCACAGTTGTGGTGCTTTCTTCTGTTGTGGTACCCACAGTTGTTGTGCTCTCGGTTGTTGTAGTTTCTGGAGTTGTTGTGGCTGTGGTTGTACTTTCTGATGTAGTTGTACCTACAGTTGTGGTCTCAGGGGTGGTGTTTTCAGTTGTTGTGATCTCGCTTGTGGTACTTTCCGCTGTAGTGGTACCCACAGTTGTGGTGCTCTCTGATGTTGTGGTCTCGGTTGTTGTACTTTCTGGAGTTGTTGTGGCTGTGGTTGTACTTTCTGCTGTAGTAGTACCTACAGTTGTGGTCTCAGGGGTGGTGCTTTCAGTTGTTGTGATCTCTCTTGTGGTACTTTCCGCTGTAGTGGTACCCACAGTTGTGGTGCTTTCTTTTGTTGTGGTACCCACAGTTGTTGTGCTCTCTGATGTTGTCGGACCGGTTGTTGTACTTTCTGCAGTTGTTGTGGCTGTGGTTGTACTTTCTGCTGTAGTAGTTCCTGCAGTTGTGGTCACAGGGGTGGTGCTTTCTGTTGTTGTGATCTCGCCTGTGGTACTTTCCGCTGCTGTGCTACCCACATTTGTGGTGCTCTCTGATGTTGTGGTCTCAGTTGTTGTACTTTCTGGAGTTGTTGTGGCTGTGGTTGTACTTTCTGCTGTAGTAGTACCTGCAGTTGTGGTCTCAGGGGTGGTGCTTTCTGTTGTTGTGATCTCGCTTGTGGTGCTCTCTGGTGTTGTAGTCTCGGTTGTTGTACTTTCTGCAGTAGTTGTACCCAAAGTTGTGGTGCTCTCTGCTGTTGTGGTCTCGGTTTTTGTAGTTTCTTGAGTTATTTTGGCTGCGGTTATACTATCTGCTGTAGTAGTACCTACAGTTGTGGTCTCAGGGGTGGTTCTTTCTGTTATCATGATCTCGCTTGTGGTACTTTCCGCTGTAGTGGTATCCACAGTTGTGGTGCTTTCTGCTGTAGTAGTACCTACAGTTGTGGTCTCAGGTGTGGTGCTTTCAGTTGTTGTGATCTCGCTTGTGGTACTTTCCGCTGTTGTTGTACCCACAGTTGTGGTGCTCTCTGATGTTGTGGTCTCGGTTGTTGTACTTTCTGGATTTGTTGTGGCTGTGTTTGTACTTTCTGCTGTAGTAGTACCTGCAGTTGTGGTCTGTGGGGTGGTGCTTTCTGTTGTTGTCATCTCGTTTGTGGTACTTTCCGCTGTAGTGGTACCCACAGTTGTGGTGCTCTCTGATGCTGTGGTCTCAGTTGTTGTACTTTCTAGAGCTGTTGTGGCTGTGGTTGTGCTTTCTGCTGTAGTAGTACCTACAGTTGTGGTCTCAGGGGTGGTGCTTTCTGTTGTTGTGACCTTGCTTGTGGTACTTTCTGCTGTTGTGGTACCCAGAGTTGTGGTGCTCTCTGATGTTGTGGTCTCAGTTTTTGTACTTTGAGGAGTTGTTGTGGCTGCAGTTGTACTTTCTTCTGTAGTAGTATCTACAGTTGTGGTCTCATGGGTGATGCTTTCTGTTGTTGTGAGCTCCGCTGTAGTGGTACCCACATTTTTGGTGCTCTCTGCTGCTGTGGTCTCGGTTGTTGTACTTTCTTGAGTTGTTGTGGCTGTGGTTGTACTTTCTGCTGTAGTAGTACCTGCAGTTGTGGTCTCAGGGGTGGTGCTTTCTGTTGTTGTGATCTCGCTTGTGGTACTTTCTGCTGTTGTGGTACCCACAGTTGTGTTGCTTTTTGCTGTTGTGGTACCCAGAGTTGTGGTGCTCTCTGATGTTGTGGTCTCTGTTGTTGTACTTTGAGGAGTTGTTGTGGCTGCGGTTGTACTTTCTTTTGTAGTAGTACCTACAGTTGTGGTCTCAGGGGTGGTGCTTTCTGTTGTGATCTCCGCTGTAGTGGTACCCACATTTGTGGTGCTCTCTGCTGTTGTGGTCTCAGTTGTTGTAGTTTCTTGAGTTATTTTGGCTGCAGTTATACTATCTGCTGTAGTAGTACCTACAGTTGTTGTCTCAGGGGTGGTGCTTTCTGTTATTATCATCTCACTTGTGGTACTTTCCGCTGTAGTGGTACCCACAGTTGTGGTGCTCTCTGATGTTGTGGTCTCAGTTGTTGTACTTTCTGGAGTTGTTGTGGCTGTGGTTGTACTTTCTGCTGTAGCAGTACCTACAGTTGTGGTCTCAGGGGTGGTGCTTTCAGTTGTTGTGATCTCGCTTGTGGTACTTTCCGCTGTAGTGGTACCCACAGTTGTGGTGCTCTCTGATGTTGTGGTCTCGGTTGTTGTACTTTCTGGAGTTGTTGTGGCTGCAGTTGTACTTTCTGCTGTAGTAGTACCTGCAGTTGTGGTCTCAGGGGTGGTGCTTTTTGTTGTTGTGACCTTGCTTGTGGTACTTTCTGCTGTTGTGGTACCCACAGTTGTGTTTCTTTCTGCTGTTGTGGTACCAACAGTTGTGGTGCTCTCTGATGTTGTGGTCTCGGTTGTTGTACTTTCTGCTGTAGTAGTACCTACAGTTGTGGTCTCAGGGGTGGTGCTTTCAGTTGTTGTGATCTCACTTGTGGTACTTTCCGCTGTAGTGGTACCCACAGTTGTGGTGCTCTCTGATGTTGTGGTCTCGGTTGTTGTACTTTCTGGAGTTGTTGTGGCTGTGGTTGTACTTTCTGCTGTAGTAGTACCTACAGTTGTGGTCTCAGGGGTGGTGCTTTCAGTTGTTGTGATCTCGCTTGTGGTACTTTCCACTGTAGTGGTCTCGGTTGTTGTACTTTCTGCTGTTGTGGTACCTACAGTTGTGGTGCTCTCTGATGTTGTACTTTCTGGAGTTGTTGTGGCTGTGGTTGTACTTTCTGCTGTAGTAGTACCTACAGTTGTGGTCTCAGGGGGGGTGCTTCCAGTTGTTGTGATCTCGCTTGTGGTACTTTCTGCTGTAGTGGTACCCACAGTTGTGGTGCTATCTGGTGTTGTGGTCTCGGTTGTTGTACTTTCTGGAGTTGTTGTGGCTGTGGTTGTGCTTTCTGCTGTAGTAGTACCTACAGTTGTGGTCTCAGGGGTGGTGCTTTCTGTTGTTGTGACCTTGCTTGTAGTACTTTCTGCTGTTGTGGTACCCACAGTTGTGGTGCTTTCTGCTGTTGTGGTACCCAGAGTTGTGGTGCTCTCTGATGTTGTGGTCTCAGTTTTTGTACTTTGAGGAGTTGTTGTGGCTGCGGTTGTACTTTCTTTTGTAGTAGTACCTACAGTTGTGGTCTCAGGGGTGGTGCTTTCTGTTGTGATCTCCGCTGTAGTGGTACCCACATTTGTGGTGCTCTCTGCTGTTGTGGTCTCAGTTGTTGTAGTTTCTTGAGTTATTTTGGCTGCAGTTATACTATCTGCTGTAGTAGTACCTACAGTTGTTGTCTCAGGGGTGGTGCTTTCTGTTATTATCATCTCGCTTGTGGTACTTTCCGCTGTAGTGGTACCCACAGTTGTGGTGCTCTCTGATGTTGTGGTCTCAGTTGTTGTACTTTCTGGTGTTGTTGTGGCTATGGTTGTGCTTTCTGCTGTAGCAGTACCTACAGTTGTGGTCTCAGGGGTGGTGCTTTCTGTTGTTGTGACCTTGCTTGTGGTACTTTCTGCTGTTGTGGTACCCAGAGTTGTGGTGCTTTCTGCTGTTGTGGTACCCAGAGTTGTGGTGCTTTCTGCTGTTGTGGTACCCAGAGTTGTGGTGCTTTCTGCTGTCTTGCTCTCGGTTGTTGTACTTTCTGGAGTTGTTGTGGCTGTGGTTGTACTTTCTGCTGTAGTAGTACCTGCCGTTGTGGTCTCAGGGGTGGTGCTTTTTGTTGTTGTGATCTCTGCTGTTGTGGTACCCACAGTTGTGGTGCTTTCTTCTGTTGTGGTACCCACATTTGTAGTGCTCTCTGCTGTTGTGGTATCGGTTGTTGTACTTTCTGGAGTTGTTGTGGTTGTGCTTTCTGCTGTAGTAGTACCTGCAGTTGTGGTCTCAGGGGTGGTGCTTTCTGTTGTTGTGATCTCGCTTGTGGTAATTTCCGCTGTTGTGGTACCAACAGTTGTGGTGCTCTCTGATGTTGTGGTCTCGGTTGTTGTACTTTCTGGAGTTGTTGTGGCTGCAGTTGTACTTTCTGTTTTTGTAGTAGCTACAGTTGTGGTCTCGGTAGTAGTGATTTCCGTTGTTGTGATCTCGTTTGTGGTACTTTCCGCCGTAGTGGTACCCACAGTTGTGGTGCTCTCTGCTGTTGTGGTCTCAGTAATGTCCATGGTTGAGGTTTCTGTGGTTAACACTGTCTCCGGAGTGACAGTAGTATATGTCGTGTTCCTTACATCTGAAAAATATTGATAACCGGTAAATAAATAAAAAACTAAAATAAACTACAATTCTAACTTATGTAAAAAGGGTAGATGTAAATGTTTTTACCTGCACAGTACGCCAAAGAGCAGAAATCTGGTTTCACAAACTCATAAACATAATAATTGTCAGGGCAGGCTTTGACTTTAATAGGACTTGATTTGAAATAGCAGCAGTTATTGTCCCAGTGACCGCAAACATCTCGAGTGACCACTCCATTCTTAACTGTTGGATGTCCTCCGTTCAGCCACAGAGGAGCATGAGTGCCACAGCTGCCCTGATCAACACATGTGTCCGGCATCTGAGCGCTCTGACCCTGAATGAAGAGACGGTACCAGCCGTTCCAGCTGACCTCACAGTCGCACATTATTTCAGAGGAAAGTTGATTGTTGGTGGCTCTCCATGAATCACCCAGGATATTGTAGTTGTAACAGGGGTCAACAGGGGGAGCTGTTGTGTGAAAAAAATATTTGTTTACTATTGGATTAAAACAGTTTTTGTGTCTGAGGATCTCATTTAACATCATTTAACGTTGTCAAAAGGAAATGAGCAGTGAAATGATTATACTGTACCAGTACCATTATACTGAAATGATTACTAGCAGTTTTACTTAACTAAGAATTCTTTCACTCACTGTAGATTTCGCCTTTTTATTTATTATAACTGACTTATCATTATTGCTTTTTTATTTTTATTAATTTATTTTTTTTTAACCAATCTTAAAGTGCATATCTAGACTCAGGGGCATCACTATGCCCTTTTTAGGGCCAATTTCTACCCTGCTCCCCAAAAAAATGTGTGATAAGCTCCTTGATCGCCTCAGTCCATTTTTAAACTCATATGAAAATTGTGGCATGCTTCAGCTCCTCCCATGTCTTTTAATCTGCATTATTTCACATGTCCGCAATGATGGCGTGCCAACACCAGAAGCGGAGGACAAGGTGTGTGCATTTATTGATAGACTTTTATGATATCAGCACCCATTAACAAAATGTTAGTATCATTTGAAAATGTAATATTTACATTCAAATGGATTATTGTGGACGTGGCATTAGATGAACATGCAGTCATGCACAGAAATTATTAAAGACAGAATCACACTGTAACACTAATTTATTGATTTAACATAAAATTGTAAGTTGCCTTAACCTGGTTGCCTTAAAATTATTATTCAATATTCCTCCTAATATTGAAATCTTAGAATCAAAACTCTTCATCCTCTTTGAAGTGTTCCTTATACAAGTTATTTTCCAAAACTGAACTACATATTTGTTTTTTGTTGTTGTTTTTTTTTTCTTATAATATGGCAAGTTTTAAACACTGCTCTCGTTCCATTGACGTCAGTATTTAGTACAAAGTAGATGCACCTTTAAAAACATGACAGTCTTGAGTCTGTGTGGGTAGGTCTCTATCAGCTTTTCACAACTGGAAACTGTCATTTTTTCCCCTTTGCAGAACCATTCAAGGTCTGTCAGATTGCATGCATGGAGATTGGGATTTGACAGATTTTTTTCCAAGGCCACCCATACGTTGAGTGAAATCTGAACTCTGACTTGGTCACTCAATGACATTATTATCGTTGTTTTTCAGCCATTGGCTTGACATTTAGGGTCATTGTCATTGCAAACTAAATTAATTCTTGTTTCTTAATAATTGATCAAATTCTATACTAAAGGATTCCAGTGATTTGGAAACATAAGGTACCAAAGCTACCAAAATTATTTTTTTCTTCATGATGTTAATTATGTCAAATTATTGACTCTCTAGCTACGATTAATTGAAATTCCATGACTACTACTATTTATTATTTTTTCACAGTAATTTTTTAAAATTATTTTTCACACCATCATACTTAAAAAAAATTAGTTTCAATTTGTGATTTTAGGATTTTAAATGTACTCAAGAACATTTTTAGAATATTTCTACATTGCTCCAATTCATTTCCCCAGACTATTGAAAACAATGCATCTGCACTAATATTCTACAAACAGCTCTCTAATTGTAATTATGCAAACCTGAATCAAAATCACAGCTGCACATTACACACACATTTTTACATGCAGTCAAAAACTTGGATCTGGTCTGACTGCATAGGTTTGCTAATCTGAACAAAAACACTTCAGAAACACTTCAAAAACATCACATTACCTGTCGTAACAGCCATGGATATCATTTCTATTGCTGAGGTTGTGATGGTATAGGTGATATTGAGTTTCCTTACATCTGAAAAAAGTACAATAAGATCAAAATTAAACCAACAAAAATGCAATAACTTAATTATGTAAAAAAAAAAAGATATATTTACCTGCACAGTATGCCAAATAGCAGAAAGATGGTTTCACAAACTCATAGACATAATAATCTCCTGGACAGGCTTTGACTTTAATGGGATTGGACTGAAAAGCGCAGCAGTCATTGTCATAGTGACCGCAGACATTTCGAGTGACCACTCCATCCTCAACTGTTGGATGTCCTCCGTTCAGCCACAGAGGAGCATGAGTGCCACAACTATACTCATCAACACATGTGTCCGGCATCTGAACGCTCTGACCATCAAAAACGAGTCGGTACCAGCCGTTCCAGCTGACCTCACAGTCACACTTTATTTGAGAGGGGTATTGATTGTTGGTGGCTCTCCATGAATCTTCCAGGTTATTGTAGCTGTTGCAGGGGTCTGCTGTTGTAGAAACTTTAAAATAAGTTTGTAAATATGTGTAAATTCATATTTCAGTTCTGCATACCATTACATACAATCTAAAATTAGATCAAGAATTAAGAATCTCTTTTCTTTTAGCTGTGACCAAGGGGATATAAACAGCCTAACATTTAAGTAAGTTTTGTAATGTGTTGGTTGCCTAATGTTTAATGTGTATCTCATTGCGCTAACTGACAGAATGATTGACAGGCATTGACATGATGCACACACCCACTGTGTGGGTTTCAAGATGAAATTCCATGACGCAGTACACATCCCTTTAGATGCGTATATGAACCATATTGTGACATGCATGCTCAAAATAAATACTTTCTTATGACAAACAGTACATACTTTTAGGCTATAGTTTTAGGGCAAATTGCAACACAGCACTTTTTTTTTTCATGATCTGTGCATTTACCTGAGACTTAAATGATTGCACTTTTCAATACAGTAGTGGGGAACCATTTGTGATTCCATTTATAGTTTTGCCTCAATCTTTTTTTACAATTCTTCAGACTCTGAGGTCTGGTTTTAATTCTTGCTCTTTAAAACTATTAATACAGTGATCCAATCAGACTCTTACTTTAGCCAACAATTTAGACATAAAGTTGGTACAAAATGTTGGTACATAAAGTGCCAACTTTTCAGCTGAAAGTTATTAAAAGTGACTCTGTACTATTGAAATAACATGTTTATCATAAAGTTCCACAATGAAAACTTTTTTTCACCACATGCTTTTTTCGTCTAATAGAAAGCTAGAGATAAGCAGTATTAAATCTGCTGAAGATGAAGTATAAGAGGATGAATGGAAAGAATTACCTGATTGTCCATCAATTGTTTTACCTTTAAAACAAACAAATAAAAAACATAAGAACAAAGGTTTCATTTTGAAAGATGATAGTCAGTTCACTTATTGAATAATAAGTGTATTAAAACTTCAACACTCACCAAACAGCAATATTGAAACACACAATGAGAATAGAAAACTCATTGTAATAAACGACACCTCCTTCACCTGCACACATGAACATAAACGTGTGAAATATGTGTTTCTATTTTTATTGTATAAAATTTAGTGTTGTCAGCACTTGGAAAAACAACTTAATAAAAAGCCTTCGCTTAGTTAACATAAACTAACAATGAACAATACTTGTACAGTATTTCTTAATCTTAGGATTTTTTTACAAATATATTATTATGGTGTAAAATTATATTATTCATTGTCACTTTGTGTTAGTTAACGCATTAACTAATTTTAACAAATTATTGCAAAGTGCTACCAAAACTACAAAATAACTCAGATTTACCAAAGACAGAGTAATTACAGCTCAAGTGATCAAATGAAGTGACAGTACCTGATATAAAATGTTGCTTCACAAACTCCAAAATACAGCAACGCTTAGTTAATCCAGTTGCAGAATACAATGAAGAATGAACTACAAGCCTCACAGTCTTATGACTGTATTAAATGTGGGTGGACCTTTTCTAGATGGGTTGACAACTGTAACAATACCTCACCTCCAAAAACAACATTTCTTTCATGACACCTGTGTTTCTTTGTACACCTGTTATTCAGAAACACATATTTTAGTCTTGAATAGATGAACGTAGATAGAATAACAAAGACAATCAAATGAATCTGAA